TGCAGATCTGAATCTTGTGCCTCCAGTGACACCACAGTAGGCTACTCACAATAAATAATAGATACATCATCTGTTATAAACAAGCACAAACATACCTACTTGTGTGGTTCTAACAGTTTTCTCATTAAAACAGTATGAAAGTGATACTGTTGAGAAACAAACTGTTCTGGGAAATAAAGAGCCCACTGTTGTTTTTACTGTTCAATGTCTCCTGACTGGCAACACTTACACAATGAGGTTTCTCTCTAAATATGCTTATGCTGTTAAAAGCTTCAACACAGTGGTAAACACATACCTGAGCCATCTTTTGCTCATGTTTACATTCTTTTCTATGGTGCACCGCATTCTTGAGTCTCATGTACACTCTAAAAATATATTTATGAGATTAAGCACCTAAAAATTTAAAAAAACCCAACCCACCAGAGGGAAGGCTGTCTATGCAAGTTTAATATAACTCCTTCCTACAAAAGCATTAGAGTACAGTCTTTCATTATATGTTCATTCCCATCAGAGCTATTTCACAGCACTCGAGCTAGGCTGTGCACTGGAAAAGTGACACAATTGTGCTGCCCACAGGAATTGGGAAAAAAAAAAAAAAATAAAATCAGCAACCTATAACAGCCACTTAGCATGCAAATTTCCAGACCAAATAAATAAATGGTAAGAAAGTGAAAAAGAGTCCTACAGATAGATGCATCAAGTAACTCCAGCATGGAGTTTGATGTGAATAGTCCCACTTCTAACATGTTATCTAATCATGCTGACAGCTACACACCTCGTATCTACTATTTAATTAGCTACAACCTACATGTGCTTGCATGATTTAAAAGTACACATATTCTTTTTCTTATCCAACTTTATAAAAAGTAACTGACAAATATCCAAATGTTTTACCAGACTACTCCTATATCATGTTACAGAGAACACGTATTCCTCGCCAGTTTCCAATGACTTAAAAACAATATGACAGCAGTTTACGTATCACTGTACTGTACTTTTCAATAAGGAGAGAAAACCTCTTGCCTTTCTGAAATAGAGCTGGAAACATCACATCCTCCATCCACAACAAAGAGCTGGAGGCTCAGCTCACCACTTGGTCAATCAATGTTGGTTCTGCCCTCTACCATGGGCCTACCAGCTGCAGAACTGGGTTTTCCTCTATTAAGTGACAGGCTGCTCAGGACAGGGGCAGTTTCTCTCCCTGGCTCAAGAGCCCACATCATGAAGCACAGGCTCTGGACAGTACAACAATGTCCTAGAACAATAACAGGGTGACATCAGCATGCAGTTGGTGACAGCAACAACTCAGCCGCTAAGGTGTCACATTGTGTTCTTGTAGTGGTTGACATCCAGAAGTCTCTTCTCAGAAGGGTTATCTGATGTGGAATAGAACTCAAAATAAATATACTCATTAGAAAAAAACTTCATTTCATCAAGTCTGTGTTCATTAGGGCAAGTCTGCCTGAGGGAAGACTTTACATAAGAGGCAATTTGTAGGGCTGAGCCCAGAGAGCTCAGTCAAAATTTGATACAAGGCAGCCTTTCACATCCTGGTACAGGTCTGGTTGTCCCTCTTCTACAGCATTGCTTCAGGAATGCATTGTCATCATCATCCACTGTAAAGTGATGGGAAAGCAGGTTGAAATTACCCATCCCTGAGAGAATTCTGTGATAGTCACAAATGTACTGGACTATGGGGCATTGGAGAGTTTCTGTCTCCAAAAGGAGGAGAAGCCATAATAAAGCACAAGACACAGAAGCCTGAAGCCTCTTGTTGATTTTAAAGTAGTCTGTGAATGATCAGGTAAAGATACCTTTTTCAACACTACAGCACAAAACACACAGTTGCACTTGAAATGAAGGAGCCTGCATTTGTCAGTCAGGGAAAGGGCTTTACCTCAGATTCCTAGAGATAGATCCCTTTGCCATCTTACGTTAAGTTGCGAAAGCCCTCTGTGAAAAAATTAAATGAGAAGCATCAAATTGATAGCCAAGAGATCAACATCAGCCAAGACACCTCATCTCAAGAAAAATCTCAAAGACAGAGTTTGTAAGCTATTCACAAGTGCATGTGAGCAAGTTTGCTGATTATTAAAACTCAGAGGAGTGGCTGATACACAGAGGGCTGTGCAGCTATTAAGCAAGATCTGGACAGGTTGGAGAGTTGGGCAGAGAGGAACCTAGTGAAGTTCAACAAAGGCAAGTGTAGGGTCCTGCATCTAGGGAGGAGTAACCCCATGCACCAGTACAGGTTAAGGGTTGACCTGCTTGGAAAGCAGCTCTACAGAGAAGGACCTGGGAGTCCCGGTGGACAACAACTTAACTATGAGCCAGCAATGTGCCCTTGGGGCCAAGAAGGCCAGTGGCATCCTGGGGTGTATTAAGAAAATTGTGGCTTGCAGGTCAAGGGAGGTTATCCTCCTCCTCTGCTCTGCTCTAGAGGCTCCGTCTGGAATACTGCACCCAGTTCTGTGCTCCCCAGTACAAGAAAGACAAGGAACTACTGGAAAGTGTCCAGCAGATAGCTTAGGAGGACAATGAGGGGAATGGAGCATCTCTCTGATTTGAAAAGGCTGAGAGACCTGGGTGTGTTTAGCACAGAGAAGACTGAAAGGGAATCTTATCAATACTTAGAAATACCTAAAGGGCAGATATCAAGAGGATAGGGTCAGATTCTTTTCAGCAGTGCCCAGCGACAGCATGAGGGGCAATGGGGACAAACTGGGACATAGGAAGTTCCATCTGAACATGAGGAAAAGCTTTCTACTTTGAGTGTGACAGAGCACTGGAACAGGCTGCCCAGAAAGGTTGTGGAGTCTCCCTCCAGAGATTTTCAAAATCCACCTGGATGCAATCCTGTGCAGCCTGCTCTATATGAACCTGCTTCAGCAGGGGGTTTGGAATAGATGCCCTTCAGACGTCCTTTCCAACCCCAGCTTTTCTGCAATTTTATGATTCTCTGTTCTGTTGCTGGAAGATCCCCAAGGGTTGGGACATAGGGAGCAGCTCAATAAAGCCAGGCATGTTACTGTCTGTCCATCCAGCTGGGAAACCTCAAAATGCAGGCTGTCTCAACTGCATGCACTACAGTTTAGAGACACATGCAGTGTCTACAGCACAAGCTCACAGACTGAGCATAAGTTGTTTCATCATCACAACTGCAGACCCACCAAAGGTATATTCTGAGGTTCCCTTCTTCCTGGACAAGGTGTATTCCAAGCCATTCCTCTTCCTGGAAAACAAGCAGTCTCCATCTATAATTTACCTACCCCCTTCTATAGAAGGCTGGTGCAAACCTGCAGGGAGCTAAATCACATTAATATATACAGCCTGCATGTCTGTAGAAAGTGACTGGTGGAAAGCTTGATTTCCTCTATATCAGTCCTTTGCTTTAAATTTATTACTCTTGGTTTAAGCAGAAACCCAATCCTTCTAATTTTGACCTTGCCATTTTCATCTGGAAAAGCATCAGAAGGACCAGGCCTTAGCTGGGCAGCCCAGTTTACCTGGCCAGCCATGTAGCACCAGCCTCATCTCCCATGATCTCCACCCAAAGCATGAAGTACACAAAGCTCTCAAAGCATCTCTTCAAGTCAGGGTTACCATATCTGATTGCCACCAAATTATAAACTTCATTGCTGAGTGAAATGCCTTCATAAAAAGAAAAAAAAAATAAAGGAAAACAAATGCAACTCCCAGTTTTAGGCAGCTGAATGTGCACAGCTGTGAGCACGCACAACTGAGTGGTCTTCAGTCAGCTTGGTCTCCAACAGCTTAGTTTTTCAAATCTCCCCTAAAATTGTCAAATATCAGCCAGCCTTAACCAGAGGACCACTTGGAGATATCTCCTACAAACTTAAAAGGGTTCAGATCTGATTGCCTATACTCACAGTCCTGCTAGAGCCAGAATAAAATACACGGGGCAACCTTTGCTCATGAGTGAATGAAAGTAATAACAGCAGCTGTGTTTAAGAGGAATACTCTACAAGAGGGTAGGAAAAGAGATTAAGAAGAAAACACAAAGGAAGCTCATACAGAAAGCATAAATCCCAATGTCAAGCAGCATTTGCAAGGAACAAAAGTATTTTCAGTTCTTGCCATGGGATTTACTTTAGCAGAAGTCTGTCTCGGTTTCTCATTGTGCTTTCAGTGACTCATACGAACTGCGTGAAACACACTCCAAAAAGAGAGATACTTAAACTGTAAACCTGCAAACACAGCTACAGGACTGAGCACAAGCTCCCACATAAAGATCAGTAGCACCAAGAGAGTATTTGGTCCCATGTGTATGGTCTTCCATTTCTAGATCAAGCTTCAGGCATTAGACTGGTGAAGTCTGGCACCAGTATTGCCTCTGTTCAACTCCCAGACTTCCAGGTTCAGCCCCTGAGCTGTTAATCAGGGGTAGCAATTCACTAGACCCAGCCTCCCACATGTATCCGCACAATTCCACACAGTCTTTTAAAATTAAATTAGCAACTAGCAGGAAAGGATTTTAAAACTGGGTCTAAAATAGACTGATACTTCTGTTTTAGAGAACTCAGTGTGAGACCACACAGGGCAAAAATTAAATAGTCCATCCCACAGCAAAATATTTTCAGATATGTTTACCCAGCTAAAGAAGGAAGCAAGATGGCTAAGATGGCCTGTGGTGTTTTCCGTTTCTCCTGGGCTCTACCTACAATTCTCAAGATATTTCCCAGCCCTTGGCTTTCTCCAGCCTTTATGAGGAAGAGGATGAAATTTGCTGAGATGTGCTGTGGGCTCCCCTGTCTCCTGCACAGCTAGCTGCGTGCAGTTCCACAAGGTCAAGCTTTCCTGATTTGCTAGTGTCTTTTTTTCTGGAAAACTTCCTTAAGGGGAAAAAAAACCAAACCAACCAACCAAGCAAAAAAACAACTAAAATTTTAAACAAAACAAACCCCCCCAAAAATCAGCAGACACCAAAGGGATTGTGAGCAGGGAGATATTGCAAGGCATCACAGAAATTATTGCTATACCAAATAGAAAAGCAACCTTTTCCACAGGACTCTGAATTCCTGGATACTCAGTGTTCCAGAGGCATTCAGCTTCATGGGAGAATTAAGGTCAGAACATCTCAATTAAACATCAGAGAGTACTCAAATAAAAAACAAACAAACAACCCAAAATCTCATCACCACTCTAACATCCACACAATTAGAATATGAGGATAATGATTTCTTATCCCAGAAGCCTATCTATAGGCTTGATCATCCTCCTACTAATGCCAATGGAAACCTGGCTGCTGATTTCAGAGGCAGCAGGAATCCACCCTTCCCCAAACCAATTCCATTCCGTCACAATTGAATTGTTATTATGGAGGGTGAGAAGTTCAATAAGCAGGGCCATGTCCTGGTGGTAAAGAAATCACAGTAACATTCAGTCTGCCCTAGGAAATAATGTTCCAGTGAAGTATTACATTAATCAGAAGTATCACTCATGTCAAGGATACATCCAGAAGTGCTAAGATACCCTGGCAGGCATCCAGAGTGAAACTTAAGTGAAATTTCTGGAAATCCGGAGAGAAAAAGGAAAGGAAAAGGAAAAGGAAAAGGAAAAGATTGTTTTAAGGCATCATTGAACAGCTCTCAGAAAAATGGACCCACAAAATTCCCTCTCACTTGAGAAGGCTCAAGGCCAAAGCCTTTGTGAAACTTCAGACCCACTTGAGAAGACATATCATTTATGACGATAAAAATCTGAGGCAACAGGATGGATTCTACTAGTCTCAGAAAATCCAATATGAGCTCCCTGCAGGCATGTAATATGAATGAAATATGGTGCACTATCTTCAGCTATTAGAGAAAATGGAAAGAAAAAAATATCCAAAACTGTAATCCAAAACAGAATTTACTGCATGACCTTGAGCTAAGCCACTTGACCTGAAGAGCTTTGGGAAGCAGCACTGCAGATTAATTGAAACCCTTGTACTAAGCATATCTCGCTCTCTTTCACAGACACACTGCCAGCTCTGTTAATATAATTAAAAGTACAGGCATTACAGAAAACATGATGCTACATCAAAGCTTAGAATTCCTGGTTCATACATAAGTCACACAAAGAGTAGCATAAATAGACTCTAATCTCACTGCAAATCATGATTATAGGTTGTCTGTAGACTTACTTTCACTGAGCAAGGGACAGAACTATAATTCACTAACTCCTTCTCTGCAGAAAGCAAAGATGTTTTAATCTTGCAATAGCCCTGTTTAGTAAATATGAATCAAGTATGGTAAAGTTTTTAGATTAATGTCATATGATAACTTATGACAAATCAAGATTCTCTGTTCAACATGGTCTTCTCACAAGATAAGACAGTGGCTGGTGGGTCACTTTGCAAAGCCAGAAGAGCTATCTTTGTACTCATTTGTAGGAAATGGAACAATGTCAAATTCAGCCTAAGTGGAAAAGGCACCACATCAGTCTTTTGGTTATCTTTTTTGTTGCCTATAATGGCTGGATGGTGTTTCTTCTGTGTTGCACATTGGTTATTACCAGTGAAAAAACTGGGAAAGAAAACTGGATTCATCATTATATGTGTAAATTCACTGCTGTTGTTCAGAGAAATGAGCCACTTCAATGCCTCACTGCTGTCCAGGTAGCATTATCTATAATGGAGGACCAAATTATGAGCTTGTGGAGTGCTTTGGGCTGCCACTGGCAGACTAGATGTCACAGGCCTCATGAGAAAGACAACCTCAGGGCTCAGCTGGTTCTCATAAGTTTAAGTTATACAGGCTACCTGCATGTCTATCCTGTCTCCCAAACACAGAGCATGGAACAGCCCTATGCATGCATAGCAGAGAACAGTAAATAGGAATAGCTGGCATGATTCGGGCACATCAAGGTAAAGACAAGATGCCCTTCCACCACGTAACTGCCTACAGACCAGGCTAACTCGCCACACCTTCTCGTGGTCGTGCTGATAAAACTGTAGCAGTGGCACAGGGTGAAATGAGATACAGTTTCAGAGTTGAGTCTGAGGTCAGGCTGGTTTGGATGTCAAATTCAGAGTCTGCATCCATACACAATACCTATGTTTGCTCTTCCCCCTCATTCTTTCATTTCTTCAAACTAGATTAGCTTCACTTATAAAATTATAAAATGTTGATTCATACCCCAGCAAATCCTTTCTCTCTGGAAAGCTAACTTGGCATCAGAAGAGTCTTCCCAGAATTCAGATTGAGGAACTGGGGTTTTTCTCTAAGGGGGTATATTTTACAGAAACATTATTTTTCAGCACTTGCTTTTCCAAGATGTATTATTCAGGATCCTCTGGAGCTGAACAGCATTTATTTCAGGATTCTGTGATATGGCAGACAAAAATTTTATTATTTTTTAAAAAGTTTTAAATTACTTTTCTTCCTCTTGTTTTCCCAGCATGTTCCATCTTAATTTTCTGCTTTTCTGGCCCTATTACAGCCAATATTAAAATCAATAGAAAAGACTCCCTTTGAATATGACAAGATTCTCAGCCTGCAAGAGCTGCAATCTGCTCTGGGCTGAGTTCTCAGGGCTCCACATTTACACTGACTGAGGATCCAGAGCATTAACCTTTCAGTCCTGGTGCCATCTGTGCCATCAAGTACACTGTCAAGAGACCATCTTCAAATATTTCCCTCTTATAATCAACCAGAAAAATAAGAAATAAAATGGAAACTTTGGAATACTCACTCCCCAAAGTTTTCAAAGCAGAGCTTTCACCTCCTCATTATACTGAAGCTTACAGAATTTTTAGAAACTGACATTTGTTGTTTGGAGGACTTCTTCAAAATGCCACTCTAAGGAAAAAAAAAAAAAAAAAAAAAAAAAAAAAAAAAAGAAAAAAAAAGAAAAAAAAGCCTGTTTTCACATCATTGAGGCATCCCAGGTAAATGCATTGAGAAATGGCAGTACTGCTCACTCTGTGTGTACTTAAACCTCTTGACAGGACCAGGACCTCACAATATGCGGCAATTTCTAGCACATCTGAAGGCCACAACGTACTCAGAATCAAAATCTTATACAAGTTGCATAAATTAAAAGCACTGCTTGTTTTTAGTAACAGCTTCCATCAAAGCATTGCTATCAAAATGCAAACGTGTTTTTGTGAAATTGTGTTTGCCGAACACAGAGTATACTGCTAAATAAAAACAGCCAGCTTTTCTGAAAGGTGAAATATTTACATCCTGATTTTGTGCGCATTATAAAAAAGCCCCTCCTAAGAAAAAAAAAAAAAAAAAAAAAAAAGAAAAAAAAAGAAAAAAAAGCCTGTTTTCACATCATTGAGGCATCCCAGGTAAATGCATTGAGAAATGGCAGTACTGCTCACTCTGTGTGTACTTAAACCTCTTGACAGGACCAGGACCTCACAATATGCGGCAATTTCTAGCACATCTGAAGGCCACAACGTACTCAGAATCAAAATCTTATACAAGTTGCATAAATTAAAAGCACTGCTTGTTTTTAGTAACAGCTTCCATCAAAGCATTGCTATCAAAATGCAAACGTGTTTTTGTGAAATTGTGTTTGCCGAACACAGAGTATACTGCTAAATAAAAACAGCCAGCTTTTCTGAAAGGTGAAATATTTACATCCCTCAAATGGGATTCCTGAAGGTCATCTCTGTCCCAAATCAGGCCAGAGAGATAGAGAGATCATTAAGAAGAATCTTTCACAACAAGGATCATATGTTACTAGGAAAATTAGTGAAAAAAGGTGATGGGATACCTAGTACTTACTTCACCTATCAAAACAAGTCAGCTGTGAACAACATGGAAGGATGTATGAAACAAATGTCAATATTTCAGGGGGTGTTCAGTAGTAGGCAACTTTCTCCAACGAGTGTTATGAAGACCCTGAAGGGTAGGCTGGACTCACAAAATCCACCACTTTGTCCCCAATACAGGCAATAGGAATTAATGTTTAGGGAGAGCACATGGGCCTGGGCAGCTTATGCAGTCCATTCTCCAGTTCCCCTGGCACCCACACGTGCTGAAAAAGGGATCTTAGAGGGTACATCCTTGCCTGCCCATTAGTTTACTAATAATTCTTGAGCCTATTGATACTGCCATATCCACAATGTCCTGTGGCATTAAGTTGCAGGCTTTCAGACCCTGTCAAGTAGAGAAGTATGCCTGTCCCAATGCTAACACATTTCTAAGCTTTGTGGTTAAATCTGCTGCATGGAACCAGCACTGTACACTGAGCCCAGCCTTCAGTGGCCCCTCTCTGCTTCCCATACTTCCACAGGACTACATAACAGCTCTGGAGGAGTTTACCCTGGCAGCTCATGCACACACTTATCTGTTCATCCTCCCAAAACTCACCTTCATACCTATCCACAATTTCATTTAAGATATTAAAAATTAAATAATAAAATCAAATAATTAATTCAAGAAAAAAAAATACCACTCTCCAAGTCAGATTACTAAAAGATGGTATCCCAGAACTACACTCTCATCCCCTGCCCTTTCACCTTCTCCCCCAGTGCTACATTTCTAAAGCAGCCCACTGTTTACGTAGCTCCTCACCTCATGGAAATGCTATTTCTTTGAAAGAAATACTCAGATAATACTCAGTGGTGAGGAATATTTCCCTCCCACCATGCTGTGCAACAACAAAGGATAGGGCTCACTCCATCCCAAGAAAAGAGAGAAGGGTCTCTGTCTTCCTTTATACAGGAGTACAGAGGAGATTATGGAAAAAAAAAAAAAAAAGGAATGGCCCAGGGAATAGACTCTGCTATAAACTCGCTTGCACAAATTGCACATAGGCATGCATTGCCACTGAGTTCAGTTACTTTGAAAAGATTCTGTAGACCATTGCATGGGAACAGTACTCAGGTCCCATGATGTCTTCAAAACTTTGAAGGCATGAAGGGAGTGGGAAGTGCAAGAATGGACCAGGAATCTCCAAAAAGGCATGAATAGGAAAGACTGCAGAGCACATAAGACAATGTCACTAAAAGAAGTTTGCAAAAAGGCAGCTAACAGAAGCATCTAAAAATTTTCTCATCCCCCATACTTGAGTGCAGCTATCCATATGGCCCAAGGGAATCTGCCCGTAAACAGAAGCTGCCCTGTCAAAAGTGCTGAAATACAAGAACCCACATTCTCACTCAGCCTCTCCACAGGGCAGAGCAACAGGAAAAACCCAGCACCCAGAGATGAAGACCAAACTATAAATCTCCAACTCTTCTCATACTCACCTTAGAGAGGGTGAGAAGTGTTCCCACCCATTTATCTGGAAATGCAAAAAAGCAGACAAGTTAAAGAGGTATCCCAGAGTGTGTTTGTCTTATCTTGGGTAGGATCCCCCATCCCCAGAAGGGACCCCAATCCGCTGTTGCAGCTTGTTTTTTTTTCCCCAGTGTTACAGCTGTAGTAAGGAAGCTCTCATGCCCATACAGCTCCTCAAGGGCTGCTAGCATTTGAAATCCCCAAAACACCATTTCTGCACAAACAACCATGCTGGCATTACCAGAAGGGTCTACTGGCACTAAAAACTGCTGTCTTTCTCCAGCCTCAAACACAAACTTGCTTCAAAAATCCCTTCTGTGGGCCCAGGTCAACATTTCTAGAAAGGATAAGACCAAAAGCAGTGCTTCATCCACTGGGCATTCTATGCTGCAAGAGACCCATAGCCAGCCTCTCCAAAAGGGACTCTGCTGTCTTTTGCACAGTGAAGTATTTGTGAAGCCCCCATTAGACTAGAAAGACCAGATGATTCCAGAGAGTTAAATACTGGCAGAGGGGCAGCAGCATATCACTGAAGAACATGCTTCCTGGATAAGATCCTCAGGATGAATTCAGAGTCCTG